TTGGAAACGGCAGACGAGGGACTCCAGAGGACAGCCCAGTTCAAGGGTGAGGATCCATTTTAAAGACGTCTTCGACCCACGGATGCAGAGCCCCCCGAGGAGAGGGACGGTTTCGTCACCCGTCCACTCCTTCTGGCCCCAGACGGAGCTGGAGCCCCTCACCCCCGCCCCCTTCCTGCCCAGGGCTGTGGCCACCCTTTTACAAAGGCCAGACGCCCATCGCAGGGAGCCAGCCGTGTTCATCCGTGACTTCCTCTTTGGAGGGAAGGCCCGCGCCCCTTTAACCTGCATTCCCTTCCTCACCCCACGGCGGCCCGAGAGATCCTGGGTTGTTTACTGTGTTTGTAAGTAGGTGCGACCTGTTGCTGGCTGCTGTAGCCTGCGAGACCAAGATTTGGGTTGAGGGGACGGCGAGGCTCTGAACTGCCTTTCCTGCTTCCAGGTCTGGGCGGCCAAGCAGCCATGCCTACCTGGGGGGCTGGCCCCCCGTCCCCGGACCGCTTTGCCGTGTCTGCGGAGGCCGAGGACAAGGTGTGGGGGCAGCAACCCCACGTGGAGCGCATCTTCCGTGTGAGGATGAGCGTCCTCCCGAGGGACTGCCCTGAGAACCCTCACATCTGGCTGCAGCTGGAGGGCCCCAAGGAGAACGCCAGCAGAGCCAAGGTGAACGCCCCTCCCTGACCCTTGGGGAACAATGACTCCCTCCCCCACTCAGAGGCAGGGGAGAGGAGAGGCTGGAAAGGATCTACACTACTGTTTGTCTCACTGGCAACTGCAGTGGCCCTGAGCTGTGAGAGACTCCCCAACTATGTATTTGTTTGGAGTTTTGGTTTCATTTCTGCTGTGATGACCTAGCTTCTGCCAGGGCTTGGGGACAAGTGATTCAATTGAAAGCAGTGTGTGCTTTTTGGGAGAGTAGAGAAAATCTGGTTGGGCTAGCAGGCCCTACCTAGGAATTCACTGTAGGGAGGCCAGACCTGGGTTCCAGTACAGTTCTACCACCTACCAGTCCTGTGACCTGAGTTTCAGTTTCTTTATCTAGAGAATGTGAGTAATAGCAGCATCCACCTCATTGGGTTTATCATGAATGAGATAAAACATGAGTTCAGTAAAAGTTAGCAATGGCCATTATTATGATAGAAATCTACAACACACACAAATACAGGGTGTCCCCCAAAATGTATACACACTTTGGCTGCCATTATTTATTCCAATAGGTTAAATCTGAAAAGAAAGAAACATCAATTGAGCTATCAGCTGTTATATATATTTGGGGGGCACCCTGTATTTAGAGAGACATTCTTGTAACCAATTAATTATAATTGTATCTTAAAGTCAATGGAATTCTAAGTGGAAATACTAGCCACAGACGTCAGCTGAAAAGGGAAGGAAGTGAGATTCTTGATTCCTTTTAAACCCCCACCTTTGTCAGGATCTATGGTGCTTCATTGCTCTGCCCAGGCATCCTGGAGTACAGGGGAGAGCAGTGAGCCTGAAGGGGCTACTGGGCCACTTAGGTTTCCAGCAGTTTCCTTTTCTCCTACCTTTTTCCCTTTTCCCCCCAGGAGTACCTGAAGGGTCTTTGCAGCCCAGAGCTGCAGGATGAAATCCACTACCCACCCAAACTGCACTGCATCTTCCTGGGGGCCCAGGGCTTCTTCCTTGATTGCCTGGCCTGGAGCACATCAGCCCACCTGGTGCCTGGGGTGCCTGGCTCACTAATGGTCAGTGGCCTGACCGAGGCCTTCGTCATGGCTCAGAGCCGAGTGGAGGAGCTGGTGGAGCGGCTGAGCTGGGACTTTCGGCCAGGGCTGTCTCCTGGAGCTTCTCAGTGCGCCGGAGTGCTGAGAGACTTCTGTGCCTTGCTGCAGCCCTGGGGGGATGCCCACAGAGAGGCCTTGCTCCAGTTGCCCCTGGCCGTCCAGGAGGAACTGCTGAGCCTGGTGCAGGAGGCATCCAGGGGGCAGGGGCCCCAAGTGCATCCCTCCTGGGAGGGGGAGAGCCCAGGACTGCTGGGTGCTCAGCATCAGGGAGTCAGAGCTCCCCTGGATGAAGGCAGGGGATCCCTGGACACTGGACCTACAGGGTGGCCAGAGTCAAAGGGAGAGAGACATGCTATGGAGAAGGAGGGAGGGAAGCAGAGTGGTCCTAGGGAGATGGATTTGGGATCGAAGGAACTGCCTGGGGAAGAGGCCTGGGAGAAAGAAGTGGCCTTCAGGTCACAGTCAGGGGGAGGAGAGGCAGGGCAGGAAGGGTTCCTGAAGAAGAAGGCCCTGGGGAAGGAGGGGGGGCCTCAGGAAAGAGTAAGGTTTTGTATCCAGAGTGAGCCTCCTGGTACCCAGGGCTCTCAGAGGGCAGCTCAGCTCCGGGGAGCCTCTCTCCTCCAGCGGCTCCACAATGGGGAAGCTTCACCCCCCAGAGTGCCTAGCCCGCCACCTGCGCCTGAACCCCCATGGCATTGTGGAGACCGAGGAGACAGGGGAGACAAGCAGCAGGCTGTGGCTCGAGGTCGGGGGTCTCCGTGGAAACGAGGCACCCGGGGGGGCAACTTGGTGACTGGCACACAGCGTTTCCAGGAGGCCCTACAG